AATCAGCAGCTTGTAAGCATCTTGAATACACACAAGAGTAAATAATATCAATAGAAATCATATCTCAATCGATTTAAACGACGAGAGAAAATACATGCGGAAGGGAGATGGAAGTTTTTAGTAGCCCAAGTTTTAAGCAGGCCGGCAACATGCGTCTGCTTTGATGTCTGGCAGCATAAAATCAACAGTGTATTGGTAAAACTGATTAACAGATAATAAGACAATTGATTCGGCTTCAGTTATAGTGAATATAGTATCCAAATGACATTTCTTGCTTCCATCCGTCTCATGCTCCAAAAATTTCTGCATCTACTATTTTATGGCTGACAGTATTTTGTGGCATATTTTGGTTACTTAAATAGAAAAAGTTGGCCTGTAGTAACTGGAGACATAAAGTCTTCAGCTCAAGAATAATCTTGTTAATGAAACTGCTTTTCAAAGTTTTTCTATGTCTCTTAAAACTTTAGTGACAAAGTGTTTGAATTACTATTGTAACATGCGATATACAAATTTTATAGTCAACGTTCATTAAATCTTCGTTACGGGTGGTGGTATCGAAAGCGGTTAATTCACTGAACTATTGCACATTGACTTAGGTGAATGAATTTCTTTCATGGGTTCGAATTATGCTCCATTCGCCGTGTTATCTGCACATTAATATTATCGTAATTGTTAAGCAATATACGTGTTGTTATTATCCAGTGCACGAAGCTCTGTGTGACTGGGTTGCAGCACTATTCACCTTGCATATACACATAAGTACTGTTGAGAATTCAACTTCCTTGTCATCCTCTGAAATTAATGCAGTTTTTAAATCTATGATAAAGATTGTCATTTACTCCCTTCGCAATAAGAGTTCAAAGTTTGGTAAGGGGGGCCTTTTGCAAGTGTTTAGGTCTTTGGTACTCTGGCACTTAGAAGACTTTATCAAAAATACTGCGAATTCAAACCTTTTCACTTTAAATAACAAATTGGGCTAAAAATGACTAACGAAATACATGAAATCTAACTCAGTTTTATTATTATTATTATTATTATTAGATAATGTATAATAATGTTGTAATGGTGGCCAGCTGTAGAATCCGAAATGCGGTGGCATTCATCTTGATAAGTTGTCAGCTGAGTGTGGCCAACTCTAAGTTAGTGATCACGTCTCCAGTAGAACTCTTCAGACAGACTCCATAGCACTGGCCACTATGTTACTGACTAACAGAAGCCACGTACTATGCAACAGTTAACATTTTTAACTGGTGGATGGTGACTGGCAGTAGAATCCAGGATGCACATTTCGTCCTATTTGGGATTCGTCATCTGGATGCACCTGGGTTCCCCACTGAGTTATGATGTTCCCACCGAGGCTCAAACCCAGTACCCATGGTTTCAAACGCCAAAGCGTTATCCACTAGACCACTTGGGCCACGACAGCCACCTTTAAAATTCATTTAAATAGTTAACATTTTTCACCACATATTTCATTTTTTGGCCTATAAGCTTATTTGAATGGTTGCCTCGTTAATGAATGCTCTTTGTTTCTATATCTCCACATTTTTACGGCTGCCCATATTTTCTTTCCACCTTTTTGTTGAAATCACCTGGATCGGCCTATATAAAGTGATACAATTCAGAATGTAAAAATAGAATATGAGCATTGTGGTAGCGTACAATTCCATGCTAGAATAATTTTATTTGATCTAATACAGTGATACAGTATTATGTATGTGCTGACAATATTTCGAGCACTATTTATTGCTCATAATTATATCCAGGTGATATGCCATTATTATTATGAGCAATCAGTTGCGCTTGAAACGTCATCAGTAAGTGAATAACACTGTATCATTATGTGTTGTATCAAATACAATTATTCTGTTGTACAACAACTTAGAATGTTCTATTTACCTGAAAATGTTTTGTACAAAGCTTTTTACACGATCATCCTTGAGATTTAGAGCTATAGTGTTCTTCAGTTGATATTCCTCGGTTGCTGAATCTGTCACTGGTCCTGTTGGAAGCATCATCGTACTCTCTACAACTGTGAAAAAAACTAGTGTGGTAACGTAACTGCTTTGTATGCCAAGGCCATTCATAACTATTATCAATATAAGTCATCCTACTAATATGAATCATAAGGGTTCGATAACTTCCCCAAAAATTGATACGGGTTCAATATGATCCTCACTTATAATAATACTGCGACCAGAATTCGATACGCGAACGCAATAAGTAACATGTATCAAGACCAATTAGCAGTACTTATTTCTAATCACATTGACCCCCCACAGCCTATTCAATAAAGATAGAAGACAGACTGGTCCGAAGCGGTGAGAACAATCTGTCTTTAGTATATATTAAAATGCATTATATACAAATCTCTCTGTCCTCAGAAGGTTAAGTCTGTAATTGGTTTTACAAGTTCGGGCTTCAGTGTTGCTCAATGGTTTAAATTTCTCCAAACTGGTCTAATCTATATACGTCCAAACCAAGCTGACTTTTAACAGTTTGAAAAAATTTGGGCATTGGGTATATGCTATTCATTATTAAAAAAAGTTTTTGTATTTCCCAATGAATAAAAAACAAGACGATACTGTTTTTATTGACGTTTCGCTATTCAATGCTAATAGCTTTATCAAAGTATTATTAAACAAGAATTTACAAAATCTCAGCTTATATGTAAAAACTTAATCATCGTTCATCAGCATGCGATAATTTTTACTTTGTCGAGTTGACTAATCGGTAAAGGTAACAAAGCCAAGTGTAGATTATTGGATTTGATAAACGTATAAAATTATTAAAACAGCATGTGTTTACATAATAGAATTGCTTATCACATTCGTATTAATTTCTGCATTTTATGGAGGATGAGGGTGTTGTAACCACGTCGAATTCTGTTTTCGTCCATCATTCTTATTCAGACAATTTGGATTCGATTTGATATAAGGTGATTCTGATATTAATGAAAACAAAACACGTAGTGCAGTAAAGTCTTTTCCCGGCGAGTTCATTTTCGTAGCTGTACAGTCGTAATATATGGGTTATTTTGTATGTGTGTGTACATTAAGTTTGTCAAACAAAATACAATTGATATTCAAGTGTTGGTCTGTAGGGATTTGATTGGTCACAGGATTTCATCATGAGCTGACATTAGTTAGAGAACCATTGGAAAACCTGGGAGTACTGGGCTTAATGGTATGCGAGCTCGCCCTGTAATCAGAGGGCCCAGGGTTCGAATCCCGATGGGTGCGTACTGGTGAAGAGTCCCAAAGTAGGACGAAACAGCTGTCCATTACTCCCAGGTTTTCCAATGGTTCTCTAACCGATGTCAGGTCATGATGAGAATACAACTGCCTGTGGTTATCTTAACTAAACAGGTGAGTATTAGTAAGTTTTGGGCGGAGTGACGTAATGCGAAAACGGTCAAGAAAATTAGGTGTTAGTGAAACTAGGATGATGAGTTGTCACAAACAGTTGTTAATAGGGAGTTAAGTAATAATATTAATAGTGTGATGATTGAGTTGTGCTCAGGATGCACATAGAAACAAAGTAGAGAATACGAAATTACGTGGGAGTTCTAAATGAATATAAGAATTATAATGAATTAAAGAAACAAGCGAACAAACAAAATTAAGTCATCAAAAATCAACAAAGTTGTTACCATGAATGTAGAGGTGGTTGACTAATTCTCTTTTGTATACACAGTTCCGGCTTTTCTATGTGAATGGCCACAGCTTCAACAATACAAAGAAGACGAAACCGTATTGCTTTTGGTTGGTTATTCTTGATTCTGTAGAATACTTTGAAAGAAGCGTTTGTTGACATGAAATTCTCAGCGTTAACCAGATGTTCAATTATCGCACTTCAAATAACGCCACTATTGCCTTTTCGCAACCATCCTGGATAGTGTTCTTGAATCCTCTATGACAGGATGCTCGTCGAACGACCGATATACCTGGCTCCACAGCATCAGGTGAACTGATATATGCACTTAGAAGTGGTCAGATGCAGGATCTTGTCCTTAAGGCTTCTGCAGATCAGTGGGCGACTGGAGAACACTATTCTTAGTGTTGCTGCTAATAATATTTTTCTCAGATATGATGTGATCCCTCTCTTGAGAATATCGCGTGTTGAATCTCCCTTGAAATCCAAGTTCATGCAGAGTTTCTTTTTTGGCACAAGTGAACTGTCATTTCTCCAAATTCTTGGTTTGATATTTTCATCAATGAATTTTGGTAGGTATCCACTTTGGATGGAGATTTCTCTCAATATATCTAATTCTGTTTCTAGAACATCGGGACTACAGATGCGTCGGATGCGGATGGCAAGGGATTTAATTAAATTACGCTTTCGTAGAATGGTTACCCAGCTATAAGAAGCTTGTTAGTTGACCATTCCACGTAGGTTTTCTATGGATCGATCTTTCTGAGGTCCCATGAGTTCGTCTTGTTAGTTCCACACCGAGGAAGAGACTGTTCCCTCAACTACGTGTTTTGTTTTCATTCATGTCTGAACGGGGATTATTCATGAATTAAAACGTAGCAAGAAGAACTGATGGGACGTTAAGAAGATATTGGCGGAAGCTGGAATTCATGGGCCATTGGATTGGGTCCTAGTGGCTTTTGCCTCATACCTCTGTTTACTGTCTCTGCTTTGAATTTCTTTTTACTTTCCTCCCTTGCTTTATTTGCTACATGGAGTGTGACGTCTCGAACTGCTGTACATTGGTGCAAAGTTCTGTGTTGTAACCAGTCAGTCAGACGAGTGGCTTAGTGGTTTACAAGCTCGTCTTGTAAGCAGAAGGTCCTGGGTTCGAACCCTCTTGGTGGGTGTGTACTGATGAAGAGCCCCAAACTGGGAGGGAACAACTGTCCAGTGTTCCCAGGTTTCCCAATGGTTCTCTAACCTATGTCATCTCATGATGAAATCATGTAACCAAATTATGCCACGTATGCCTTTTTGTTTATTACAACTACACTGATTTTCATCTTTGTAACGCTTTACACTAGTTGCGTGAACGCTTAGAAGAAGAATTGAAACAACCATTACGTGCATATCGTCATTTTATTGAAAAACAAATTTTAACTATATATGGACAAATGGATGAAGCCAGTGTAATATTTGATCATGTTCTATTGGGTACAACATTTAATGCATCAAATCGTGATGAACTAGAACGGAGAAATGTTACACACATCTTGAATGTTACTCGTGAAATTGACAATTTCTTTCCCGGAGATAAATTTGAATATAAAAATATTCGTGTATATGATGATGAACAGTCATCATTGTTACCCTATTGGGAAGAGACACATCGATTTATTAATGAAGCAAAGTAAGTTTTGTTTAGAAATTATTTTTTTCACATTTTTAGTTTTTCGGTGATATTTCTGGATCGAAGTCATCAGCCTCATTTTCGTGTATGCGTTTATTTTGATAGTATGACTTAATGTTACCAATAATTAATAGCTGGAAGTTTCTTCTTTGGTGGGAAATTCTGACGTGCGTTTTATCCTATTTAGAACTCGTCAGTTAGACTTAGATGCTTCTCGGCGGTAAGCGATGTTCCCACTGAAATTTTAATCCAGCATCCATTACTTCAAACCCACCAAAGATGGCTGTCATGACTCGGTAGCCTAGTGCTGTTGTTTAAGTGTCAGGCACTTATTTACTGTAACAGCTAGACCTTTCTCAGTCATCATCGTGATAGTGAAACTAATTAATACGGTAATATTTTTTGTAACCAAGCCATAAGTCACTCTTGCTTATTTGTTATTTAAAACACGAAACCTGGCACAATATGACACCAGAAAGATGAGTCACACAATAATAATAAAACAACATATGAGGAAAAAATAAGGTAAAGAATGAATAAAGGATTTCATCTGGAAGAAAGCAGTTATATTTGAGAAGGCCCAGACAGCATTCATCGAATTATTGTCAGAAAGAGAAGGAAGAAGGAAATCGCAGCACGTTCGCCATTGATTGCGATTCTTGGCTATATCTGATAACGTTTCGAGCTATCTCTCGGACCCTAACCAGGGAGTCGTGACACACCAAGCGATGCTAACCTAGCACAAATATCCATCACCCAAACAATGGCACGTCATAAGCTGACCACTTCTCCGCTTTTTCCATCCCGTTCCAGGACAAGTGAACACAGGCTGTTAAGGAAGCATCAGCCAATGAAGCCGGTGTTTCCAGATGATGAGTGGTGATCTCCGTTGTGTTCAAACGCACGCCACTGGACCTCAGAATTACTCACGTGATGATACTATCGAACGCAGGCAATTCTACGGAGACAACGATGATCGAATACTCAGAATCACGGCAAGTCCTCAGCTCGAGGAGTGCAGGTTTTACAGGCGTAGTGCAAGACAGCACGCACCGAAGCCTTGTAAACCCGACCTTTATCAGCCAGTCACTCTTAATCTGGGAGTGCCAATAATCCTACATATTTGTCGAGGCTTAAATAGATGAAAAAGAGGTTAAAATAGGGAATTAACTGACTGAAAGTGTAATCCTAATGTCAGTGAACTAAACTTTCTCTCTCTTAAACTTCAGTGTGATCATAATCGTGTTTTGTTTATTTTCATCTTTGAAGGATAGTTTTAGTCCAAGTTAACGGAGAGAGTTTTCCTCAGTAAATATCTTTTGTTTTTGGACTTTATTCTATCTGATGTTTTATTTCACTGGATTAATTTTATGCCGTTGAATGTTTAAATTGTGGAAAAAAAACCCACTTATTTTGGTTTTTAAAAATTTTTTCTTTCAGGGTTCTAGGTACACGATGTCTTGTTCATTGTAAAATGGGAATTAGTCGTTCAGCGTCAACGGTGAGTGTCTACTGCTTAATTCTCAGTCTCAAAATTTTGAAAGCTGCTGTTTACTTTTCTAATTTTTCTGTTTAACTGAATTTTAAACCATTCAGTCTTATGTAGTAGACTGCAGATTTAATGTATTCATGAGAGATAAAGTTGAGTTTCGATTTATGACCCACTTAACATTTTGTGTTTTCTGAGTTGGGTAGTTCAACTGTAAGGCTTTCATCGTCATTTTGAATGTCATCGTTTTAATACAAATTATTAGAAGAAGTCAGCTATTAAAATTGTTGAAAACAAGCAGGGAGCCCTGGACAGCTGTTACATCGTAGTTTGAGAATCATTGGATGAAACAGCTGTCCAGTATTCCGTGGTTTTCAATGGTACTCTAACTGATATCAGTAGGTGATCATACTCGTATAAACAAACCTGATCCTTACAAACCAACTCTTGAAAACTAAAGTTGTTCCATAAATTTTGTGAGGCGTAATAGCATATGTCGATGACTTACCATACGATTAGTTTTCGTCATACATGTGCTTTCACTACCTTGTAATTGGCGTTCTCACGACTTTCTAATTGTCTTTTGGGTTCTTTGTTCGTTGGTATATTGAGTCTATGTTAGTGTCTACTGATTGCAGGGTTATTAGGCCGTTAAAAACGCGCTAACATTGTTTACATTACTCAATCTAAACCTTTTCGAATCTTAGTCCACAACATAGAGTACTTATTAGCTAGTCTGCATACTTACCTTTACTCTCTTTATTTTATTCTCTTGATGTAATTATATGTAGTGTAGCTATCTGCACCACTACGCAGTAATATCAAGTTGTGTGGTGGCAGTATCAATCATTGAAAGATGATGATTTTAGATAAAGTGTGCTTATGTTGCTTTGGAGCTTTAGAGCAAGTGTTGCTTATTCAACCCATCCTGCTTAGATATCACTCTTAAATAACTACCAAAGACTTGAACAAGCTGAGAACAAAAAATTAACCAGGGTAGTATGATATCTTCTTATTTCGTTAGTTCTTCTCAATTACACACAGCCTAAAACAGTTTTAATATCATTATACCAAATATTCACACACTTAAGTAAATTGAGCATGAAGATAAAGGCCATTAATAATACGTAAATTAAGCAGAGTAGTGGAATGGGTAAAAGGTGTTATTAAACTTGGTAGTATATATGTGGGAGAGTATTTACTACCAAAGAGATAAATATGAATCAAAGTGAATACAGGCAGTATGGTTGAGGATTTCAAAGTCAGGATGAGGAAGACAAAATAGATAGGTGTTCTTCATTACTCTCAAGTTAGTGTGGAAATCTACTGCATTCAGCATGAAGAACAAGATTTGGACCTTCAACACTAATGTTACCTTGGTAGTTCCATATGGTTCAGAGGTTTGGTACACACACCACGAAAAGTATTTTTCAACAGGCTATCTGCAAAGTTTTATCAGCAGCTGGTTTCTCCAACCGGCCAGAAAGTATAAGCAACAACAAACCAACCAAGAACCTGCCGTCCAACAAACATGGCGAAGATAATGCAGGCAGATAGGACAGGCACCGAGTAGACCGTTAAGTGACATCACGTACTTCCTTCTTTTGCTCGAGTGGAACTCGAATGCGAAGAGACGAGTTTAGTGTGGTTCTGAAAGTGACATAGATGAAATCATGTGAGAAGCAGATGTAGGCTTATGGACAATCGTAGAGCGATGTAGATGGGACTGCAGAGAACATGGTGAAATGGAGATGTGTTGTTTAGGCCATATGTTCCACTCGCAACCCAAGAGAATACTAATAATAGGCATGCTAAACCTGCCGAAAATATAAAAATAATATTATCACCGTTTTTTCCCTCTCCTCTTCATCGTGTAAACAAATTCTACACTGTATACGTTGGAGAAGTGTTTGTCATTCGTTGTATTGATGAAATTCCATATATGTGTATGTAGGCGTATCTGTATGTCTCATATGTGTTGTTGTTTTCTAAATTATGGGCATCTGGTTTCAAGTTCGCTAAACTATTTTGTTATTTATTTTTAAATTCTGTTCTTGTAAACTTTCAATATTTACTAAGGAAACAAAGGAATTGGCAATATGTTGATAAAAAACAAAAACAATTAGTTACCAAATATTTATCTAGATTTAAAGCTATAGTTTCTAATAGACATGACGCCTAATCATTAAGATATCAAGTGACAAACTGCTTGAAAAAGTAACTATTAGAGTGCACTATTATTCTTAGACTACAAGATTCATGCTTCATGTTTGTATACACGACGAAGAAAAACGATGTTCACCCAGTATACTGTTGATGATCGACCATTCCTATCTTCATTAATCCATGTTATAAACTGATTGTCTGTGTCTCTGAGTAAATTGAAATCTGTAGAAGGAAAATTAACTGTAAACGATTTCCAAGACACAAAAGATCTTACAAAAACTTGATCCATTTGTTACCTAAAAATCAAGTCTTCTACGGCATAATAGGTTTATAGATGTTCCACCAGAAGAAGTGACTGATTTCACTAACCACTGCCGTACATACATCGCTATGCTTTGCATATTACTGAATGTAATGATTAGAAATTATGTCGTCAGATCTTGGTGACTGACTGACTGGTTTTAACGTAGAATTTTACACAGGTATGCAGCAGTTCGAGTCGCCACACCTTACTTAGCACACGAAGCAAGAGAAGAAAGTAAAAAGAAATGCAAAACAAAGATAGACAGTAAACATAGATATGAGGCAAAAAGAATAGTAATATGGAAGAACAATAGAATTTTATTAGATATGACTGGTAAATCACAAAGAGTGGTTGTATCTGCACCACTGGGAACAATTTTGAGCCATACCAGCGGTTGGCTCCAGCCTTCATTAGTTTTTACCATCCCGAGAACCCCAACCAGGAAGCCGATCTACACCGTCTTACGTGGCTAGCTTAAGCTAACTGTTATGAATTTTATTTACTGATGGTCTGACCGCCACTGGCTCTTTTCCAACCTGGTCCTATGTCAGCTAACACTACCCGTCGGTCGAGGAAGGCGATAGATGGCTAGGTATGCGTAACACATCTCTTAACCATCTCAGTCTATGTAGCTTCACAGCATCGTCAACTTATTTCCCCTACTTACTAACTTCTCAATGGAATACAGGAATGATGAAAGGAATATCCGAATTTTGTACATGAGCTGACAGTTTTTTCATCATGTGTAAGCAGATAAACCACGCATTCAGACACTAACTTTTGTAATGAAATAGAAAGCTTAGATCTAAGTGTTGTACGGGACAGTGATGGGGGGACAGATCAGAGATTTACTCAATAAGTAAGCCTTTGAAATTCTTTATGTGTTCAAACACAGGTGTGGTACATTGTGAACCCGATAAAATGCATCACACAAATTAGCAAAGGGAATAATATGTAGAGAATAACAGGCTAACTAGACAGGCACTCCTATTGTCCACACTCGTATGGGTGCTGTCATTCTATTGCATTGATTACTAAGCATAATAGCATGTTTGCCAGTGATTTTAATTGTGAACCACTTTTGATATTATCCTGACCTAATGATTGGGATTATCTTCTGGACCACGGTCATAGAGCTGTGATCTATCAACGTATACTAATTTAACACAACTATTGTTTATTCCATAACACCACTGTATAGGTTGAGTGCATCCTGTTTCACCAACTATATCCCGAGGCTAGCGAACAAGGAGAAGAATGAGACATGCGGGGTAGACATCCGTATTGCCTACTCAGTCCACTGAAACCTGTATGATACCGCTTATTAACAGATATCAAATTTGTCCAGACAAGCAACCATCAGACCTTAAGTGTATTCACATAGTGCTGCTACTGGATGCAGGTAGTCATGCATCCAGTAGGTAGTCACGGACGTGTGTACTGCTCAGCAGTTCGCTCCGTCCTTGTCTATGGCTCTGAAACATGGCCAATACGCGTTGAAGACATGAAAAGGTTGACTGCTTTCGATCATAGATGTCTGCGATCTCTGTCTCACGTTAGGTGGTTTCACAAGATAAGTAATGTTGACGTTAGGCGTAGAGTGTTGGGTAAAGAGGGAAAATCAATCGACGAGACTATAAAGTTACATAGACTAAGATGGCTAGGTCACGTGCTGCGCATGCCTAACCACCGCCTCCCCCGACGGGCATTGCTAGCTGATATAGGTTCAGGTTGGAAAAGAGCCAGTGGTGGCCAAACAAAAACATGGCATCAACCCATGAAATCCTTGACAGTTAAACTGAGTCAGGTAGGGAGATGCAGACTCCCGGGTTGGGGGCCTCGGGACTCTAGGAATCAATGGCTGGAGACAATAGGTGACATGGCTCAAAATCGTTGTCAATGGCGCAGATGTATTCAGTCTCTGTAATCTTTCATATTCCTTTCTACCATTACCCATTCAGTTTCGCTCTTATACTTGTCAAACTCTATTGATTCTCTTCACTCATCTTCTTGTCTACCTTTGTGTGCTATTTGGAACGTGGCAACTCGAAGTGCTGCACTTCGGTGCCAAGTTCTATGTTGAATCCAGGCAGACATGTAGTCATACAGAGACATAGACGTTTTCAGCTGAAATAGGTTAGGTTTCACTGGCGTAAAGCAATGCTGCTACTTTGGCTTTTGGTGTGTGTTGGAAAATGTTATCTAAAATATTCTCACCTACACTGATACAACAACCTTAGTCTAAAGATTCCTGTGATGCTTCTACCAGATGACTTGGTAGTGTGAGTGTGGCAAAGATTTCTGCCAATTTAGAGCAGGTAATTTGAACTTTAACATGTGATGTTCACATTGATTTCCAACCGGTCAAGTGCGATTGGGACAGTGATTACTCATGAGTCTTACATGATGCACAGTAAGATGAAATTAGTGATAACCCTATAACTGATAACTGAAACACTCCATTCAACATTTTGACTACAAAATGTAGTGTAGTAAAAGGTCTATGGAATGTTAAAATTTGTTAACTTGTAACTTGTCGTTT